TGCTACTGACAGACAGGATGATATTCAAACACAGGTTGTGCATGTGTATCCTATATATCCTATATTTCTCATTATCTTCGCATAGACGGCTGCTAGTTTAATTTGGAAAATGGAAAAACCAACAAACATTCCAATTGCTTTATATATCAAAACCGGCTGACTATTAAATTCTTAATAGAACAAATCCGAGTTACGTTTAAATCTCTTAACGAAAGAAAACGGACGAAAGAAAACTGGACGATATTTAAATCTCCTTACTGAACAAAACCGGACGATATTTAAATCTCTTAATGAAACAAACCCGACGGATATTTAAATCTCTTAACAAAACAAAACCAACGATATTTAAATCTCTTAACGAAACAAAACCGGACGATATTTAAATCTCTTTATGGAACAAAACCGGCAGATATTCAAATATCTTAACAAAACAAATCGGGCTATATTTAAATCAATTAACGAAAGAAAACCAACTGATATTTAAATCTCTTAACGAAACAAAACCGGACGATAGTTAAATCTCTAAATGGAACAAAACCGACCGATATTTACATCTCTTAACAGAAGAAAAAAACAATGATATTTAAATCTCTTGACAGAACAAAACCGACCGATATTTACATCTCTTAACGGCACAAAACCGACCGATATTTAAATCACTCAACGGAACAAAACCAACCGATATTTAAATCTCTTAATGGAACAAAACCGACTGATATTTACATCTCTTAACGAAACAAAACCGGACGATAGTTAAATCTCTAAATGGAACAAAACCGACCGATATTTACATCTCTTAACGGCACAAAACTGACCGATATTTAAATCACTCAACGGAACAAAACCAACCGATATTTACATCTCTTAATGAAACAAAACTGACCGATATTTAAATCTCTTAATGGAACAAAACCGACCGATATTTAAATCTCTTAATGGAACAAAACCGACCGATATTTAAATCACTCAACGGAACAAAACCAACCGATATTTAAATCTCTTAATGAAATAAAACCGACCGATATTTAAATCTCTTAATGGAACAAAACCAACTGATATTGACATCTCTTAACGAAACAAAACTGACCGATATTTACATCTCTTAACGGAACAAAGCCAACGATATTTAAATCTCTTAATGAAAGAAAACCAGACAGTATTTAAATCTCTTAAGCAAAGAAAACTTTAGATATAAATCATAACATTGTTATATCATCATATCCCTAAGCCCTAAAACTTGCATTATAGACATAACAGTATGACTTTCTGTAAATAAATTTGACTTCTAAGATTACTTGTGCTGATTTGAAAACAGATTTACTATAAAGCTGTGGCTGCATATTCTTCTAGATGTTCAATGTTCAATTTATTTATAAAGCACATATTAATACAACAACAGTTGACCACAGTGCTGTAAACGGGACAAGCAAAATAATAATAAAAATCACATTCAAATTTTATATCATTACAACACAGTCACAGATCAGACAATGAGGCATTAATAAAAACCCGTTATAGCACTAACACAACACTCATGTATAACTCATGCAAGAATACAAAATGTGATTTTAAATGATGTTCTTTTGTCTATCCCTGTAGATTTCCCCGCTGGTCCCGCAGGAGCACACGTCCGATCCCAGTCTCCTTCAGTCGGAGAATCCCGGAAACTCTCTGACTCTGAATTCCCGCTCGCTGAGTCTGAAACACTCCCACCGTCGCATAGCCGAAACTCCAGGTCCACATCCGAGCGCTAGCATCCTCATTAGCCGATCCGGGAGTCTGTCCTACGACAGTCTTCTGCGTCCCGTCGAGCGCCTCGGATCCCAGGCGCCATTCCTTCCCACGGATTCGAGTCTCTCCCGAGGTCCTGGATGCAACTGCAGCCGGCATTCACCTCAACACCGCGAGCCGTCGCCCGTTTGCTACGACAGCCTCGCTAAACCGCTAATGAGCTCCATTCAGGAGCGCCGGGAACCTGACGAGAAGGACAAACCTCTCGCTCCGAACTCCGGGATCTACGACGTTCCCAGCAGACGAAGCCTTCCACATGATTTCCGAGGCCCGTCGTCTCGCGGACCGACTCCTCCGGCGTACGGCTCGCGCGAGTTCCTCCTTAGCAGCGCGGCGTACGGATACGGGAGCCGGCCGCATCTGTCTTCCTCCTCCTCATCTTCGCTCACCCGCACGCCTCGGACCGCCAGCTCCCCGCTGCACTTTAACCGATCCCTCTCTCCCTCTTTCTATCACTCTCTGGACCGACATTCCCAACAGTTCCCATCGCCTCTTCCCAGCTCCTCCTACGGCCATCAGAAAGCACTGGCGTTCATCAGAGGAGAAGAAAGACCCGAACCTGAACTATGAGTCCTTCACGGAAATCATCAAAATATCAGGCAATTTTAAAAGGGATTATGCAGACCTGGAAAATGTCACTTTCCTGCTCAAAAGGTGTTGGGAGATGCTGATACGCCATCAATTACTCTTCTAATATATGCTGATTTGCTGCACAAGACACATTTATGATTATTATCAATGTTGAAAATGGTTTCATATTTTTGTGGGAACTGTGAAGACTTATTTTTCAGGATTCTTTGATGAATAGAAAGTTCTAAAGAACAGCATTTATTTGAAATAGAATCTTTTGGAACATAAATATCTTTGCTGTCACTTTTGATCAATTTAATCCTGTACTCTTAACGGAACAAAAACAACCGATATTTAAATCTCTTTACGGAACAAGAACAACCGATATTTAAATCTCTTAAAAGAACAAAAGCAACCGATATTTAAACCTCTTAACTGCACAAAACCAACCACTATTTAAATCTCTTAACTGCACAAAACCGACCGATATTTACATCTTTCAACGGAGCAAAACATTCCGATATTTAAATCTCTTAACGGAACAAAACCGACCGATATTTAAATCTCTTAACGGCACAAAACTGACTGATATATACATCTATTAATGGCACAAAACCAACCGATATTTACATCTCTTAACGGAGCAAAACATTCCAATATTTAAATCTCTCAACAGAACAAAAACAACAGATATTTAAATATCTTAACGGGACCAAACAGACCGATATTTAAATCTATTAACGGAACAAAACTGACAGATATTTAAATCTCTTAACGGCACAAAACCGACCGATATTTACATCTCTTAACGGAACAAAACCAACCGATATAGCCAGACCAAATAGAAAGTTCTAAAGAACAGCATTTATTTGAAATAGAATCTTTTGAAACATTATAAATGTATTTGCTGCCACTTTTGATCAATTGAATGAGTGTTTGATAAATAAAAGCTATTCTTATTTACACCAATCACAGTTTCCACAAAAATATGAACTTTTCAACATTGAAAAATAATAATCATACATCAGATCATCATATTAGAGTGATTTCTGAAGGATCATGTGACACTGAAGACTAGAGTAATGATGATGAATATTCAGCTTTATATCACAGGAACAAATTACACTTTATATTCACATAGAAAACAGCGGATTTACACTGGAATAATATTTCACTGTTTTTACTGTATTTTTATCAAATAAATGCAACTTTAAGCAGAAGAGACTTTCAGATTACAATTTTTTTAATTATTACCAACTTTTGACCATCAGTGTATATATTTTTAAAATGTATTTACAAGAATATATTGCATAATAAAATTATATTCTATGAGCAATACTTATTTAGTTTCTTTTTTTAAATTTTAACAATTAAAGTATGGTGCTTTAAAATTATTTTAAAAAGTTTTTGTTAATTATATAATTAAAATATATTTGTTTCTTGTTATTTCTTTTTTTCCTGTATCAATATTGTGTTTTATAAATTATTTCTTGGCTAATAAAGTTTGATTTGTTGGCTTCATAGTTTTGCTTTGATATTCTCTCAATGAATAAATGTATTTTATCCTCTTAAAGTCAATTAAATATCATTTCTCCATATTCATATACACAAGAATAAATGTGGCCGGGCTTTATTGTGTCTGGGGGGAATTGATTGGATGGCTATGTTTTGCTATTGGCTGATTATATGTGAGTGACAGGTTGCCCTGCCCACGTCATCAAAGAAGAGATGCTGGAAGAGGAACTAATTGGAACATGAATGTAACACAGTAATGATAAATAAAATAAACACTGCAATATTCAAGAGTTGTCTATAATCGACAGATACAAACCCTCACTAAAGATGAGTAGCCTATTCCTTGATTTCTTCAGTGAGAGGATGGGAATACAGTCACACACTTTATTCGAGCAGAAGTTCCCTCTGGTGTTCACTGAGAAATATTACATGTTGTTCCACTGATGTAAATGAGTCTGTTTAAAAACGCTTCCTTTGTGTCCTTCCTTGCTCATATTTTACACATCTTTTCTGAAAGTGAAATACCTTGTTAAATGTGGTTCCTCACTTCAGATATCAAGGGTGGCTTGAGTGTAGTTTAACTTTACCAGCAGAATGAGAATATAACAGGTGGTCTGATGGACTGCAATGGCTGGAAAAGCTTTTCTTTATTTTTAGTGATCATGAAGTCTGTTTCTTATGCTGGGGCGAATTATGTGCCATAATTAAACAAACAAATCCAGCATTTTGCAAACAAACTCGATCTGCTCTTCTGAAGGAAAACTCGACTCGCAAACAAACAGAAAGAAATGTGCAAAAACGCGGTCAATTTGAGCGAACATACAGTGGAATAACCAATATTGTGTTTTAAAAATATAAATAAATGAGCCAAGACAATAGGCTATTTCACAAATACAAACGATCCTGCAAATTGCATGTAACCTTTGAACAAATACCAAATGTGAATAGTAACTTCCCCTTCGAGAACAGTAGATGGCGCTATAGGTGTTGATGTAGTTTACTGTCTGGATTTGACAAATGCATGAAATGCACGTGCGGTGACGTAGGGAGCGCGCGGCCCGTCCGTGTGTGATGATCAGTCACGTGATCCCCAGTAATTTCCCGCGAGCATACAATGTGATGGAATCAGTTCTCCTGGCTTTGATCAAATATTAACCGAGCTGTGTGAGTCTGAAAGTGTGTGTGAGGTGTTTAACCAGCAGAAGCGAGTGCTGTTAATGACTGGGTCGTGATGATTCAGTCAGTAAAGCCTCGACACACTGCTGTTATGAGGAGGAGCTGATTATGTGTCTCGCATATCAAAGTTCAGACCAGGTGAAGATGCTGCCATGACATGAGTTCTCAACTATCCTTCCGCCTGTGAAACTGGTTATAATTGTAATACTAAAAAGTTGAAATTGACAGTCATAATTTTGATTTATGGGATAAAATACTAAATCATAATTAATAATCGGTAAAGCTTCGACTTAAAGCATAGCCTAATTGTGGCATTAAGAAGGTTTCCCGGACAGAGATAAAGCCGAGTCCCAAATTTATAATCAGTCCATTTAATCAGAATAACACAACCCTGCTTTCTCTGTCGTGGTTTTGAACACTTATCGTTCAGATCGAGTTTAGGCTAATAATAAACTGATTCCTGCAGGAAGACCAGAGATACTTGGGACTAAACTTGGCTTAAACTACAGCAGCTGAGGCAGGTGAACTTCAGATTAATGTTGTCAAAGAACACACACACAAACACTCTCACACACACTATCTCGAACATAGCTACACACACACACTCACTCACACACACACACTCACACATTAAGTTGATATTAGAATTTCAACTTTTTGCCATATTTTGAACTTTTTATCTCATAATTAGTTTTCAGTTCATAATGAGTTTTTACTGATCATAATTACATTTTTTTCCTCTTATAATTATGACTCATTATGTAATTTTGACATTTTCCATGTTGGCTTTTTAATATAATAATTAAAATAATTTTTAAACCATAATTTTACCTTTTGGGTCTATAGTTTCAACTTTTTTATCTCATAATTACGCAGTTTTAATTCTCTAATTTCTTATAATAATCAGCTTTCCATATCTCTCGTCTCGCCTGTGGTTCTCCTGCAGGAAATGTGCTCTGAACTCAACCGTCAGTGAGAAGACCACACAACCACTGTTTATGCTCTTATTCTGCATTTATTTAAACATGTTGAAGGTCTTTATGAGAATGAGTCGATGAGATCAGGCGGATGCAGATAATGCAGCGGGTTGACGCAGAGGATTCTGGGAAAGTCATGTTCTATCTCGACTATAAGGTGAGTTCTACTTTTTACATAAAATTCAAATAAACACGTCATGTAAAATTGCATGAATATTCTTGTTAGATATCAAAGTTCACTTATATGGTCATTCTTATATATATATATTTTTAAATTTCAATATTTTTTAGTATTTTAATGTATTATCTTCATGTGTTACGGAAATAGTTTTTCCTGCAGAAATGTTTGACTGTTGTCTGATGTGCATTACTGGATCCTCTGGTGAGGTTTATGGTTCTGACTGTCCTCTGGATTCTCTGAGGAAAGTTGAAGATGCGAGTAAATCCTCCGGCTCTCCAAGGCAAGTTCTTTAACATTCATTATATCAAATAGAGTTGTTCATTTATTATTTATCATAAACTGCTCCAGGCTAGTTCCCATCTTAGAGAAGCCTGAGAGAGTGTGTGTGTTTATGTGTGAGATAGAAAGAGTGTGTGTGTGTGTGTACAGTATGTGTGAGTGTGTGTGTGTGTGTGTGTAAAAGCATGAAGCTTCGGCCGATCCGTCAGGACTCTGTGGAAGCTAATTGTAACTTTTTCCCTCACAATTCTATTTCGTTCTCGTAAATTCTGAGAATGAATTCAGAATTGTCCTGTACCGCAATTCAGATTATTTTCTTAAAATTCTCTTTTCTTTTATTTCTCAGAGAGTAAATTTTACATTATTTTTCACAATTTTGACTTTATTTCACGCAATTGTGTGTGTGTGTGTGTGAGAGAGTGAGAGAGAGAGAGAGATGGTTTAAAAAGTAATTATGATATTAAAAAGCCAACATGAAAGAAGTCAAAATGACATAATGAGTCATAATAAGAGGAAAAATAAATGATGATATTAAAAAAATCTTTTTTTTTTATAATTATGAGATAGAAAGATGAAAATCTGATAAATTGAAAATCTGATAACAGATTTGTTTGGGTGTGTGTAAAGTGTGTGTGTGTGTGTGTGAGAGAGAGAGAGAGAGAGAGAGAGAGAGAGTGTGTATGTGTGAGCGAGAGAATTTGTGAGAGAGACAGTGTGTGTGTGAGAGAGGGAGAGAGTGTGTATGTGTTTGTGTGAGCGAGAGAACTTGTGTGTGTGTAAGAGAGAGAGATTGTGTGTGTGTGTGTGCATCATCAGTCGCATTCGGACCTCCTTGTTCACTCGCATCTCTTGTTTAATGAGCGTTAATGGTCTCATTTAATGAATGACAAACACAGTCGCACTCCTCGCTGCGCTCTGAAGAGAGAGAGAGAGAGAGAGAGAGAGAGAGAGAGAGAGAGAGAGAGAGAGCAACCCGTGCTGTTGATTCAGCAGCTCTTCCACTGCGCTGTGCGCGCGCTCGCGTGCGTGAGAGAGCATGATCGAGTGCATGTGGACGCGTGAGGCTGGAGGAAGGATGCTTGCTCGTGTGTGAGAGCAAGAGAGAGAGAGAGACAGCAGTATTTTAGAAACGCCAGACTCGTCGCCCGCGCCGCCAGCATGCAGGAGGTGAAGGAGGTGAGTGTCTCCGCGCGTTCCGCGTCAGTCGAGCGTTATGTGGACATCGCGCGATCTGGATCTTTCCATGCACGGACTGCGGACTGTGTTCGTGTGCATTACATGCTTCACACATGCGTCTGAATCACATGTCATCATGATGAACGCGTGCTTTAGTGCGCGTTTGGCAGTGAGCTTTAAACTCTGGTTGCCGTGGGAATGACGCGCTGCGTTGCGTTGCGTTGGATGCGGCGTAACTCGACTGGCATACCAAAACACGCACTGCAGGCGCGCGCATCACATGCAGATCCCGATGAAGTTTGCCGTCGCTCCGTGATTCATGTGTCCTACTTGTGTGTGTTCGGATCCGTGCTGCCCTTGAGCGAGTCACTGACACTGTGTGTGAGGATCCGGCATGTGCACGAGCAGCCGAAGGATGGGTAGATGATGGATGGATGATGGATGGATGGGCCACTTGGCATGACGTATTTTGTAAGACGGGTTAGAAACCATATAATCATCTGGCGTTTATGAGGTGGGAATTTAGGGCTGATAAACACATAATTCATCATCAGTGCATGTATATGTATCTTTCATCATCCTGAAATAACTTGCTCCACCTCTGAAACGACTTTCCTGTAAGCATATTTATTATTTAATAATAATTTGGAATTTTGGTAAAACATATTTCCAATGTCTAGATCTCATTAAAATAACTTAAATATTACACATTTAGTATTTTTACTCACTTCTTACATAAAGTTAAACTATGTTTTTTGGAGTGTATTTTAATCGTTATTATTATCCATGGTTTTACTCAAAATATGAAACAATTAGTATAGAAACAATTTACACAAGACACAAATAATTGCAAAGAATCAAAAAGTCAAATATTGAATTAAATGAGCAATTTTGAAGTAGAAATAGTATTTTCTTGTCAAATGCACTCCAATAATCTTTGTTTTGGTCAATTATTATTATCATTTTCTTAACAATGTGATTCGAATAAGAACCATTGCACATTTGTGATTTTACCACAAACACTAAATTAGATTTATGGTTGCTGTATAAAACCCATGAGTCAAATACATTTTTCTCCATTTTTAGTCAAGTCAAGTATCACTATTACTATCACTCATTTGAACCTGCATAGCAACACCCTAACAACCACTAGCCTACATAGCAACCGTTCGACACACACAGGCAAAACCACTCTTATATTCTTACTTTCTTATCTTAAACAATTGCATAATTCTTTTTTTATATGTTTAGAAAGTTATAATATATGTTTATTTATGTTCATTTAATATTCAACTATATCATCTGCCTTACTACAGGTGGATGTTGACACTATTTTCTTTCTAGAAACAAACTTTGTTGCATTATTTTCCTGTTATCTCTGTAAAGCGCTATAAATAAAGGTCACTTGACGACTTTATGAGCTGCATGATTCATAAAATGTAAAAATGAATTAAAAATAAATTAAAACTAAATCCATAAAGTGATGGAACCCCTAAAAGGTTCTATAAAAACCCTTTAATAGAACCTTCAAAGAGTGTGTAGTGAAAAAAGGAAATAAACACAGAAAATACACAGAAAAAGAACATATACACAGAAAGTAAGATGTGATGTGAGTTAATAAACACAAACAGGAAGTCAGCAGAGATCAAACAGGAAGTCAGTGCAGAAGACGAGCACATTGAGCTGGTTCCCGCACGGCTTCATCTGTCCTGAAGCGCTCCATCACGCGCTGTCCTTTATAGAGATGATGGAGATATGCAGATGGGATTATTCTGAGAGATTCAGGAAACGCTCATGATCCAGAGACGGCAGCGTAAGAATTACATGATTCGGCTTCAAAGAGGAAATTATCATTATGCAGCGCAAGCCAGATTCCTCTAAGATTGAACATACCTGTTGAGTTACAGTGACCCAAAAACATCTGCCAAGTCAAGTCACGTTTACACAGTACGGATCGTTTCAAAGCAGCTTCACAGGAATAAACCGAATCATCAATGATGCAAACATCCAAATACTGCAGCTCCAGAAGACAGGAGCCGTTATTCAGATCACTTCAGTTCGTGGGGAATGTCATTGCGTTAGATAACAAACAAAAGAACTAACTCACTTTCCTGGCTTTTCCACAAAAGTTTGAAATAATAAATCAGGGTTTAATTGAAAGTAAAAAAAAACCGTGTTTGCCTTTTGAGTTCATTGAAGCTAAAAAAAATTTTGAGTTAATTCAAATAAATGAGTTTAATCAACAGAAACTCAGAATATTATGCTGAACAACCAGTGTTTGGGAAAATTACCTTTAAGAAAAGCGTTACAATGTTGCATTACTGCCTTAAAAAGGCAACTTTGTTACTTAGTTTCTGTTTATAGAAAGTATGTGTTACTAATTGCGTTACTTAGTTACTGTGTATGGAAAGTAATAATGGGTTACATTACTTTTGCGTTACTCCCTAAAAAGTAACTAACTGTGTTACTTTGTTACTTTTTATGGAGAGTAATGTGTTATGTTACTTTTGCGTTACTCCCCAAAAAGTTACTAATTGTATTACTTTGTTACTTTTTATGGAAAGTAATGTTACTTTACTTTTGCGTTACTCCCTAAAAAGTTACTAATTGCATTACTTAATTACTTTTTATGTAGAGTAATGGGTTATGTTACTTTTGCGTTACGCTATAAAAAGTTACTAATTGTGTTAATTTGTTACTTTTTATGGAAAATAATGTGTTGTGTTACTTTTGCGTTATTGTTTATGGAAAGAAATGTGTTGTGTTACTTTTGCGTTACTCCCTAAAAAGTTACTAATTGTGTTATTTTGTCACTGTTTATGGAAAGTAATATGTTACCTTACTTTTGCCTAACTCCCTAAAGAGTAACAAATTGTGTTAGTAACCTAGTTACTTTTTTATAGAAAGTAATGTTACATGTCGGCGTTAAGAGTGTTACACAAGGTGCGTCTGCATTTACTCCTGATTTCTCTCAACATGAAGACAGTAGAGCTGTCAGTCAATAAATGGGTGAACAAATTTGCATTACTTATTTAAAAAAAAGTACAGATATTTATTTTATTTTAAAAGTACTCTGAAAAAAATTGGATTACGTCACATTACTGACACTACTTGTAATGAATAACAACCAAGACTGTGAACAACATTTGTGAATTTAAGTTTGACAAAAGACAAAAAGGTGATAACAAATGATTAAAATAACTTTTACAGGTTAGTGTTGAGTCTGAGTAATTCTCCCACTCTTGTTAGCAGTTTCAGTGCCAGTTGTTTGTGTAAGTTGTCTCTTAAAAGCGTGTCTTGTGTTTACGAGGCTGTTTAGAGGCTGCGCTCATGGATAATTCACGGATGCTCTGGAAGGAAGTTCTTCTGGGGTTGCTAAGAGTGTTTGCTCCGTTGCCGGGATGAGAATAATTTAGTGAATTTGCCCAGAGGTGATATTCACGCAGTTTTTTTGTGATCTCACGATGCTCTTTAATGTGGAGACGTTCATCAGGACGATTTGATAAACTCTGTCATGAATGTGTGTGCTTGTTCAAACAGACGCTCTACAAACACTCAGATTTCATGCTAATGTTGATTCTCCTCCATATTTTTTATATTTGGTCGGAAAGAAGCCGGAGCCAGAGGAACCCCCGGCCGAACCGTGCCCTCTCGACACCATCGAGAAGATAGAGGAGGCTCTTCCAGCGGAGGACACAGCGGACGCCTCGCATCACACAGAAACTCATGTAGGTCAATTCATTATATGTTCATTCATAGTTATAATTACAATGTATTCCGTGCACATTGTGTTATTTATTTAATGGATGATGTT